CCTTGAATGTTTCAGTCAGTTGTGGCATTATTTTGGCCCAGGTGGTTTCCCAATGAGAAAAGGCAATATAAAACAAAGAACTATTGGTTAGGCATAAGACTTTTCTTGGTAAAATAAGAACTCAGTAGTTTATAAGTTTATAATACTACCATGACAAATACTCAAATAAACAACAAAAATAATGTTCCTGTTTATGTTGAACAACAGATTATTCAAACTGACTTACAGGCCACAGACATTTTAAAAACTAAAATTTCTATTCCAGGTAATTTTATCAAATTAGAGAAAACAGGGAAAAATAATTGAGGTTCTACACAAGGCTTACCCAAGCCCCTGTGTGAAAGATATGGTTTTTCTAGTGAGGGAGAATGAATGACCCTGGATATTCCCCAAGAACTAGTAAAAAAGTTAGATTTGCCATTAGGAGAAGATATTCCTTATCCAGTTTATATTTCCCCCGCGGTAATAAATAGAAAAACCACTTACGGCGGAATAACTATTGAAAACAAGAAAGAAATAATTATCGATAAACCTTCTAGTAAAGACCAAGAAACACAAACAGATTTAGCCAGTCAAGAAATATTAAACCAAATTAACCAATTACAACAAGAGGATAATTTAAATCAAAAACCATTACTAATTTACAAGGGGGAGTGGCTGAATTAGAAATTAAATTAGTTGAGTTAGAAAAGTTAAAAAAATATTTGACGGAATAAATTTTTAGCAGCCAAAGGGGACAACAACCAAGAAATTCAAGCCCAAATAACTGAATTGATTAGAGAACGAAATAATATTCAACAAAACTTAACTAATTTAACCGCTAAACTAAAAAAAACCCAAAAGAATTTTTTAGGTTCTTTATTTAGAAGTAGTAAAAAATCCCAACAAATCCAAAATTTAAAAATTAAAGGGGTAAGATTAAGGGATGAATTGATTGAAAAGGAGCAGCAGATAGAGGATTAAATAGGCGATTAAATGAGGCTAATGCTCTAATTAATAATATCCAAAATCTCCTGGGAATAAATGATCTGAACAATTTGCCAGTTTTGCCAGAAGGAGAAACTTTGATTAGTTTGTTAGAACGACCAACCCGAGTCGAATTATTACAAGCAGAGAAAAATAGAGCAAATGATTTACAAAGAAAAAATGAAGAACTTCAAGGAGATTTAGAAACAGAACGAGGCTGATGGGATAGGTGGATAAATGATGAAAGACCTTTTTCCCCAATAATAACTTGACAGGACTTCTATGATTGATTATATGCTAATATTGTTGATATAAAGGTAATATAAAAGCAGAAAAAAGGAATAATTATCTTTCCTTAATTAAAGCACCAGGTTTACTAGGCTTATTATTAAATAAATTAGAAAAAACCTTGGGTAAATCATTAGTAAATTACATGGGTATGAGTGGTGTGCGAAATGATGACATCATTGGTGGCCCTTTTTCCCTTACTCCTGATAAGATAGAAAGTTTTTGTTCCATTTTTAGAAAGAGAAAGTGGAGAAGTATGACAAATAACTAGTATAAGTGGAAGAACAAGAGGAGATTATAATAAGTTATTTAGGGAGTGAAAAGAATCTTTTGAATGAATTACTAGTGAAAAACTAAAAATGAAAGAAATTTACGAATACTACAAA